TTGATGGGGGATGAGGGGAACTGGAAGAATCTGTTCTGGAAAACAATGTATTTGAATTTTGTAAATAAGCTAGAATAATAATAATAATAAAACCACCCCACTTTTTACTCTCCTGGATCACTCGTTTCTGGGAGTAACCACATGCCATGTTGGGAAGACAATCTCAGGGAATCCTATGGGAAGGTCTACTTGGTAAAGAACTAAGGCCAAGTAGCAAGAAATAGCACGAACTTGTGAAGCATGTGAGACAAATTGGAGCATGGGTGGCCTCCAGCCTTAATGAGATGACTGCAGCCTTAGACAACAAATTGTCTATTTTATAACAAAGACCCCAAGATAGAAACATTCAGCTCTGCTGCTCCCAAATTCTGACCCATAGACACTGGGTAGTAATTCATGTAATTGTTTTAGTCACAAAGTTTTGGAATAATTTTTAGGCAACAATAGATAATAAAATAGCAAACACCAGACAACTATTAATTAGGTATGCCATGTTAGTTAACATTTTGCCTTTACTCACACATCTCAAAATAACAGTTGAAACTAGCTACTTCTCACTTAGGTCCCCTACTTAATGTTCAGCAGAACTCTGAAAGGCATCATGGCATTTTCTGCACTAAATACATGCACCCAGAGCACCTTCCTGAAAAGCACCTTTTCTCTACCTTCATTTCCTGCTACTTCCCAGGCTCTGGCCTAACTGCCTTGTGTGCTTGCTTTGCAAAATAGTAATAAAACAAAGGACATGTGCTAGAGGGTCTTCAGACAGACATCTTTCTGGTTGTTTTTCTTTAATAAAGTAAACATTAAACAAAAACCTGATACACTTACTTATCTGGCTATTAATTCTGTTTAGGCCCCTCAGTGCAGCCATTTTGCCGTGTTTGCATTGCTGTGCTAGCCCTGCTTTGGACAAGATCCTTGTCCTTTCTGTATGTGATATCTACATTTCTCCTAGGTTTGCTTACCTGTCATTTTATACTCTGTCCATTTTCTCTTAATTCTTTTAGATATAATCAAACTATATGCATGAAAGAATGTAGACCATGTCAAGAGCTATAAATGATTGACTTTTATTCTAACCTTTAAAATGTCACTACTTCATCCCATGTAACAATTTTGTTAACACTAAAGGCTAGTTTACTATTGTTTTTCTCCTGTAGCAGGATTATTTTTTTTAAGCATAGCTGAGCCAACATTTTATTTTAAAAAAATATTTTATATTGCCTTGACTACAAAGTTCATATACATTGTATCACGCTATCCTTTATTCACAGTTACATACAATCATTCCCATTCATTATATTTTATAAAATTAATCATCATTGAACTGTGCCATTACCCTTTTTGAGATGCCCACTGGATCTTTTCCACTTCCTTTACCCACCCCGTCCCTCCACCCACCAAACTGCATAACCCTATGATTTCTGCCCCCATCCTCACCCTCTGCTCCCACCCTCCCCACCTTCAATCTTTATACATGTTTTGCTGTGGGCTGTTGAGTCACCTGTGTCTCATAGTGACCCGACATATAACAGCACTGAAGCTCACCCTGTCCGCAGCCAGTCTCACTGACCCCAACACACCTACTACCCTCATTGCCCCAGTTACTATATTAATCCATCTCATCGGGGGTCTTCTGCTCTTGCGTTGTCCCTCCACCCTTCTAACACCCTTCTCCAAGGATCAGCTGTTCTCTCCTGGCCATATGCCCAAAGTATGTGTGAGTTTCAAAATCCTAGCCTCCAAGGAGAAACTTGGTTTCACCCTCTCCAAGACAGACTTATTTGTTTTCTTGGCAGTCCATAGTATGTTCAAGACTCTTTTCTCCAACACCACAACTCAAAAGCATCAATTCTTCTGTCATCCTTAGTCATTATCCAGCTCTGATGCATAGCAAGTAATTTTGAAGACCATGGCCTGGATCAGGCATACCTTAGTCTCTAGACTTTGTTGCTTCTCAGTACTCTGGAAAGGTCCATGACAGCACATTTACCTAATGCAATTTATCTTTTGATTTCCTGACTGCTGGTGGCAAGAGTGTTAAAGCAAACTGTTAACTGTTAACAACCCCAATCTCTTCTCCATTTATCACAGTACATACATGTTTTACTAGTTATCTTACAATGATGGTTTTATGCAGTATTTTTCCTTATGAGACTGAGTTCACACAGCATAATGCATTCCAACCCCTCCCAGCAATTTTTGAAATCCTTGCTCATGAATGCTATATAATATTCCATTAGTGAATGTACCACAGTTCCTCAACATTCAATTGTAGTTGGCCATTTGAACTCTCTTCTTGCAATGGTAAAGATGCTATGAATATTGGTATACAAATCTCCATTTGTGCCTCAGTTTTACTTTTCTCGGGGTATATGCCTCTCTAAAGTACTCAAGAGCAACAGTGTCTCTCTGGAGACTAAGGTGCGCCTGATACAGGGCATGGTCTTTGCAATCACTTGTTATGCATCAGAGAGTTGGACAATGACCAAGGAGGACAGAAGGAGAATTGATGCCTTTGAGGTGTGGTGCTGGAGAAAAGTATTGAAGGTACCCTGGACTGCCAAGAAAACAGATTCATCCTGGAGAGGGTTAGATCAGGCTACTTCTAGGAGTCAAGGATTCTGGGGCTTCGTCTGACATACTTTGGACATGTTGTAAGGAGGGACAGGTCTTTGGAGAGGGACATCATTCTTGGTAAGGTGGAGGGACAGCGCAGGAGGAGAAGACCCTCTATAAGGTGGACTGATTCAGTGACTGGGGTAATTGGGATGGGTGTGTCAGAGGCCATGCGATTGGCACAGGATAGAGCAGGGTTTAGGGCTGTTGTACATAGGGTCACTATGAGTTGCTAACGACTTGACGGCACATAACAACATATACCTACCAGTGGAATAGCTGGGTCATATTTTCTTTGTTCAGCTTTTTGAGGAAAGGCCAAACTGCCTTCCAGAGTGGTTGTACCATTTCACAATCCCACCAACAGTAAGTTCCCATCTGCACGCATCCTTTCCTTTATTGCTTGTCGTCCTGTTTGCCACTACTGTGGTTTTGATTTGTAGCAGGATTTAAAAATCTATAAAATCTGTTGTTTACCTGTGTACTGTAGCATCAGAACCAACCCATAGCTGACCCTCTGGAGGGTTTTCAGAGGTAATCACAAGGGAGACCACCCATCCTCCCACAGAGGAGCTGGTGCCTTCGGATTGCAGCGCCACTTACCACTAGGCCACCAGAGCTCCCTTAAACCCCTTGCTAAGTCTTTTTAAAAATTTTGTGCCTACACAGCAAACTACACACCAAATACAAGTTTTCACACAGAAGTTAAATTCTTCAAACCTGTAACCCTTGTTAGGTGCCGTTGAATTAATTCTGAACCCTTTCCTATTCTATGTTGTCATCTGACACACTTGAGCCCACTGCTGAACCCTTCCGTATCTTATCGAAGTAACAAAAGCCAGCTCCCTTTTTTCTTGCTGTCAGATTCCATTGGCTCTCAAGTGTAAGGCTCAAAGCCGACTTTTAAAATTAGCCTTAGTCTTTGTTCACAATAGCAAAGACTTGGAAACAACCTAAGTGCCCATCAACAAATGAATGGGTAGAGAAGCTGTGATATATTCACACAATGGAATACTACACTGCATTGAAAAACAAGGAACTCATGCAATATTCAAAATGGGTGACCCTGGAGGACATGATGCTGAGTGAAAAATCTGTCACAAAGGAATAAATGCTATATGGTGCCACTGTTGTACAATGAGGCTGACATCGGGGTGGGGTAAGACTGAGAAAAACTGGATAAATTGTTTACTGCATTGAAGTCTATGAGGGAGAGAATAGTGTAAAAGTATTATATTTTAGGGCATTAAAGAGTACAGAATGAGGGTTGCAGAGTGGATTATACTTGGGGTGGGGTTGGGAGTGTGCAGCTGGTGGGGGGATTGGGTACCAATGAAGGAGTTTTGCTTTTCAAGGAGAGGAGCGAAGGGGGGGTGGCCAGAGAGAAAAGTGCACCAATGAATGAATGGAATTCCAAAATCTCTAGATGTTCACTGAAATAAAAAAAATTAGCCCTAGTGGTAAGCTGCACTGCAATCCCTGAAGTGTGTGGTTCGAATCTGGATTCTCTGCTGGAGGGACAATATTCTCCTGCACGTTATATCCGATTTACAGTAAACACACACACACACAAGTTAGTTATGCTAAATTATTTAGCATTAAGACATCAGGAGATACTGTGGCTCATAGCTTCAAGATTATCTCTAGGCAGTTGTGTCAGGGATTCATCCACCAGATAGTTCAGAATCCAAGAAAATTTTTAATTCTGGTCCTTTTCCTACCATTTGGGGGCTGGAAAGAGCTTCCATTTCATTAGTCTTGAATATCAAGTGTCAAATAGTATTCCTGTCTGTGCACATGAGAAACACTGTGATCAGGGAGCAACTTGGAATGCTTGGAACCCCTTAGTTTAAAAATTAGGGAGCATGGGTAGTGGAAAGCTATGCAGCAATCCCAAAGGCACACACATAGTTCAAATCTACCAGCTACTCTGTAAGAGGAGTGGCAATCTCCTCTCACCAGGGGGTCAGCTAGAATTCAGGGGTACACAACAGAGTTTTCATTTTCTTCCTATAGGGGCCATTTTCGTTAGTATTCACTGGCTCTTCTGCTAATAGACTGCTTAGAGTCAGTTTCAATTCAGCGACACATCACTGGAAAAGTTGCAGTGGGATTATCTTTCTTCTCAGATTATTATTACATCAAGGTTCACAGTTTATAAGCTCTGGTATGACTGGAAACACAACAAATCCGAGAAATTACAGAATTTTTTAAAAAAGCACAAAATCAAAAAGAATGCTTTTCTTTTTTTACTTTGAGACATGATGGAAAAAAAATCTTAGAGGAACACATGGAAAAATAAGACATGATTACATTGATAGAGACAACCTAGCCAGAAAGCTTTGTCAATTCTGAATGTGATATGCTAAAGGGCTGAATTAGTACTCTTCTCCTTCTTCCTCGCCCTCTCCTTCAACAGAATCCACACCTACCTCCTCATAATCCTTCTCAAGGGCAGCCATGTCCTCACGGGCCTCAGAAAACTCTCCTTCCTCCATCCCCTCACCCACGTACCAGTGAACAAAGGCACGCTTGGCATACATCAGATCAAACTTGTGGTCCAGGCGAGCCCAGGCCTCAGCAATGGCTGTGGTGTTGCTCAGCATGCACACAGCTCGCTGCACCTTGGCCAGATCTCCACCAGGCACCACAGTGGGAGGCTGGTAATTAATACCAACCTTGAAGCCAGTGGGGCACCAATCCACAAACTGGATGCTGCGTTTGGTCTTGATGGTGGCAATGGCAGCATTGACATCTTTGGGAACCACATCACCACGGTACAACAGGCAGCAAGCCATGTATTTACCATGGCGAGGGTCACATTTCACCATCTGGTTGGCTGGCTCAAAGCAAGCATTGGTAATCTCTGCTACAGAAAGTTGTTCATGGTAAGCTTTCTCAGCAGAGATAACAGGGGCATATGTGGCCAGAGGGAAGTGGATGCGGGGATAGGGCACCAGGTTGGTCTGGAATTCTGTCAGATCGACATTCAGGGCACCATCAAATCTGAGGGAAGCAGTGATGGAGGACACAATCTGACTAATAAGGCGGTTAAGGTTAGTGTAGGTTGGGCGTTCAATATCAAGGTTTCTGCGGCAGATGTCATAGATGGCCTCATTGTCTACCATGAAGGCACAATCTGAGTGCTCCAGGGTGGTATGGGTGGTGAGAATGGAGTTGTAGGGCTCAACCACAGCTGTGGAAACCTGGGGGGCTGGGTAAATGGAGAACTCCAGTTTGGACTTCTTGCCATAATCAACAGATAGGCGCTCCATCAGCAGGGATGTGAAGCCAGAACCGGTTCCCCCACCGAAGCTGTGGAAAACCAAGAAGCCCTGGAGACCTGTGCACTGGTCAGCCTGCAGAAGGAAATATAAGCAGTTTAACTCTTAGCATTTGTGTTTAAATTATAATCTACAGCAGATGCACACTGCAATGTAAAAAAAAAACCAACAAACTGCTTAAGCTTGCCTTTTCTATTGATGTAAGCATAAGGAACTAACAAAATAGATAACTACATCCCAAACTGTGCTAAAACTCACTGTAGATGCCAGTTAATTAACAAGCATTTTAATTTCTTTAGTATTCCATGACTTTGAAGTCTGGTCCCTTAAAAAATTTCAAGAGACAACTCCCATCCCATATTAAACACTAAACTTACCAGTTTTCTTATTCGGTCCAAGACGAGGTCAATGATCTCTTTGCCGATGGTGTAGTGCCCACGGGCATAATTATTGGCAGCATCTTCCTTGCCTGTGATGAGCTGCTCAGGGTGGAAAAGCTGGCGGTAGGTGCCAGTGCGAACTTCATCTGTAAGAAGAAAACAAAGTGGGCATATATCACTAACAATCTGTACAATCCCATCAATGTAGTCCCCCAGGAAGCAGTTCCTCCTGGTCAGGTCCTCAGATGTCACTAGGGCTACTGAATCCAACTCACCAATAACTGTGGGTTCCAGGTCTACAAAGACCGCTCTGGGCACATGCTTGCCAGCACCAGTCTCACTGAAGAAGGTGTTGAAGGAGTCATCTCCTCCCCCAATGGTCTTGTCACTTGGCATCTGGCCATCAGGCTGGATGCCATGCTCCAGACAGTAGAGCTCCCAGCAGGCATTGCCAATTTGGACACCAGCCTGGCCAACGTGGATGGAGATGCACTCACGCTATGAGAGAAAAAAAGAAACCAAGAGTAAAATATTTTGGTGAGAACTGTCACATTTAACCAAACAGGCTTTTGTCCCTTCAGATGGACCTGTACTTTCAGGATGGTTTTCCTCAAGCTATAATAAAAATGACTAAGGAAATGATCCCTCAAAAGGGAGTAGGTTCCACATGCAGTGAGTTCCTGAGCAGTTCCCAGCCAAGAAGCACGTGGCCAGAGCTGAGGCAAGAAAATGGGCGAGGGGAGGGGTGCTGCAGCAGGAGTGCAAATGAGCATGCCCACATTTCTCCACCACCAGCGTGCGCACAGCGGCAGTACAGCCACCTCCCTTCCCCACTGGTGATGGGCCAGCCTAGTACACCCACGTCTCTTACGGTGCAGCAGGGGATTATCAGAGGCCCAGATCTGGACCTAGATCCGATTTCCATTGCCTCAAAATCCCTGCCGGCCAACACCTGCTCCAGCAAGCATTCCTAACACAGCCGGGAGGCCAGGGAGGGACAAATGGCTTCTACAGGTTGTCGAGCGCTAACTGTCCTAATTAAAATCAGTAATCCGTTGCCCCGAGTCCTTTCTGACTCGCTGATACCCTGTATGTACCAGAGTAACTCACGATCCACTAGGCTTAGACGGCATTCTAAGCCATGGAGTTACTTGGGCTCCAGTGTCCCACATAGGGGTTTATGCACAGGGTTTTAGTGTATCGGCATAACTCAGTCTAAGGAAATGGAGCCCTCTCGTCCATTACATTGCTTGGATTGGGGGTGGGTAGGGGAAGAAAACCAGAGTAACCACAAAGTCACCCTCCAGCCATTAAACCGCATCCAACCAGCGCGCATGAGCGCGCGCTGGGGTTGCAGCCGCCCAGAGCTCAAAGGCGGGAAGGTAACGGTCGCGCCTGCGCCTTTGTCTACTAGCGCCTCCCCGCCCCCCCTTTTCGCGCCCAGGAGGAAGTGAGGGCAGAGAGTTCGCGCCCGCCCGGCCGCCCTCCTGCTCGTCACAGGCAGGGAGACGAAGCGGGGGGATGGGCAGGTGCGGGGAAAGTGGCAGAGCTGGAGTCTGGGTGCTGAGCCTAGGAGGTGTGGGCTAACCATGGCAGACGAAGCCCCTTCACTCCTTTTCACCTTCCCGGAATCTGAGCAGAAAAGGGAGAGTTCTCTCTTCCCACCACAACCTCTCATCCCTCAACCCGAGGCCTAATCAGCTCCCACTCTCGCACACGCCCGAATGCGGTCGGTGCTCGCTGCAGCACTTTGCAGCTCGAGACTCTTCCTGCCTTTGGGGCTCGCCTCCCCTTCATATTTTCCCGTGCGATGCTGGCGCCGTAAGCGATCCACTCACCATTCTGACTACGGGTTAGAAAGCAAGGACGACAGGAGTGGACAGCGGTTTCCGGTTACCGTCCCCGACAAGCTAAGAGTCGAGGTAAGTAACGCACTGAAGCGAGGGCGGCGCTGGAGCGGCTTAAGTATTGGCGGGGCGACGGAGGGCGGGCCCAGGCAGCGCGGCGGCCCGCGGCCCCTCCCTCGGCCCCGTGCGCCCACTCGGCGCCCGGCCTGCCTGCCGCAGAGGCGGGGTCCTCGCTCGGAACCCCCACCCTCGCCCGCCATGCAGGGCGGGGTCGGCGCGCCTGAGGACCGGCGCCTCCACTGCTGCAGTCTGCGGCGCATGGCTGTCGGGGTCTGGGCGGGGGGTGCGGAAATGAGTCAGCTTTGGAATGAGGAAAGAGGCCTGCCTCCATTCGGACATATCCTGCGAATGGAGAAAAATTTCATGCTGTTTCAAAAATGAAACCTGAAGTGCTTCTAGTCCTGAGAGCTGATTCCGTTCCTGTTACTGCAGTCTGTCCTTGACTTTGCCTTTTTTCCCCCGAATTCCTTTAAAGGCCGTGCATTGTATATTTGGCTGAAAATGTGGAGGAGGATGGATGCGAGGTTTAGAAAACAATATTGTTATGTGCCATCTAATCAACTACGACTTATAGCGATCTTATGAACAGCAGATCTGAACCCTGGCTCATCTTGTGCCATCCTCATCATCTCAGATATAGCTGACCCTATTGCTACAGTCACTGTGTCAATCCACCTAGTTTCCTTCTCTGTCCTTCCACTTTTCCAAACATGATGTCCCTTTTTAATATGCCCATCATCAGACTTTCCCAGTGCAGTATTTCCTGATCTGGTTGCTGGTACCAAAGGAGTTGCTTGTGGATCCAAGTAAGATGAAGTCATTGACAGTTTCAAATTTTCCTCCATCTGTTATGATGCTGCCTGTCAGTCTAGTGGCAAGAATTTTTCTTCTCTTGACATTGAAATAAAATCCATATTGAAGGCTGTATCTCTGAAAACATAATAGATTTGAGTTATGGTGATATAGAGGTAACAAATGTAAAATGCAAATAACAGATGAAGCAAATTGCATTTCAGTCATTCAAGGATTTATTATTGTAGTTACCACTGCAGTTACCAAAAAAATCAAGAAAAAGACTTGATTCTCGCATCCTGTATAAAAGGAAAAAGATAAAGGGAGAATAAGACAGCCGGCAGGGCAGCTAATCACATGACTCCTAATGACTACATCCTTCAGAAAGATGTGTACAAGTTACAATATTGACGTTTTTACATCAAGTTGCTAAAAGGAGGTTCTCATACATTGCTTCCTGGTTAAGAGAAACTTTTGATATGGGTAAAACTCCGTGTTTACATTTCTCAGACACAGGAAAAGGGAAAACACACGAAAGTTGTTACTAAGGGGAAACTGGAGCTCTGGTGAAATATTTGGTGAATAGGGATTGAAGCTCAATGTTAAGAAGACAAAGATTCTTACCACTCGGCCAATTGGCAGCACTATGTTAGATGGAGAAGAGATTTAGGTTGTTGACAATTACAGTCTCTTGGCAACAGCAGTCAGGAAATCAAAAGACAAATTGCACTGGGAAAATCTGCTGTCAGGGATCTCTTAAGAGTACTGTGAAGCAACAATGTCAGTCTAGAGACTAATGTGTGCTTGACCTAGGTAGGCCATGACGTTTGCAATTAATTGCTATGCATTAGAGAGCTGGACAATGATGACTAAGGATGGCAGAAGAAGAATTGATGCCTTTGAATTGTGGTGCTGGAGAAGAGTATTGAACATACCATGGACTGCCAAGAAAACAGGTTTACTTTGGAGAGGGTGAAACCAAGTTTCTCCTTGGAGGCTAGGATTCTCACATACTTTAGGCCAGGAGAGGCCAGTCCTTGAAGGAGGACGTCATGCTTGGTAGAGTGGAGGACAGCGCAGGGGAAGAAGGCCCCAGATGAGATAGATTTACGCAGTAACTGGGGCAATGGTGGTTGGTGTGCTGGAATCAGTGAGACTGGTTCAGGACAGGGCAGGCTTCAGAGCTGTTGTACATAGGGTTGCTATGGGTCGCAGATGACTGGAAGGCACATCACAACATGGAATCAACAGGTGGTCTACTGATAAGAAACTCTGCTGCAATCCTAAAGAGATTGGAATCCACCAGCTGCTCGGAGGAAGAAGGCTAGACAATCTCCTCCTGTGTGATTTAACTGCCTCTGAAAACCCACTGAAAGGTCAGCTATGTGTTGGTTCTCACTCAGTGGCATACAGCAACAACAACGACAGTGTCTTAGTGGGGGAGCTCTGGTGGGCTAGTGGTAAGAAACTGTGCTGCAATCCACAATGCACATGGTTCAAATATACCAGCTACTCCTGAGCTCCTGTGATTTACTGCCTTTGAAAGCTGCGGGAGGGTTAGCTATGGGTCATTCTCACTTGAAGGCATACCACAGGGGAAAGCTGAGAACAGGATGAGTTTGTTTAGTTAATGGAAATGGAAATGTAAGTACCTTAAACTTAGGTCCTTTGGCATTATGTCCTTTTTAAGATGCTAATATTGTATATGCATAATAAAGGAGCTTTACTAGCAAGATTGATGAAACTCAGAAGCCATATGGAGGATTTTGCAAATTGGCTTTTCTGAATTTGCTATAGGACTTCACAGTCAGCTCAGTACTTAACAGCTGTTTCTCCTGGGCTCATGCATGGCTGAATGCTTTTTCTAAAACATGATTTAAACATTGAACACTGAAGGTGATGTTGTTGTTGTTGTTGTTGTTGTTGTTATGTGCCATCGAGTCCGACTCATAGCGACCCTATGCACAACAGCTCTAAACCCTGCCCTATCCTGCGCCAACCGCACCGCCTCTGACACACCCATCCCGATTACCCCAGTCACCGAAGCA